GTCAAAGTTCAGGCTTTAAATCCAAGAATGTGTCTGTGTCCACTTATAACACACAGAGCATGATAATAATAAAGACCTTGAGGCAAAATGATGACAGAGTACGACTCGTCTGCAGGATTAAATTAATTAACATTGGAAGTTCTACACATCTATCCTCATTTGTAAACTTAAAAAAAAAAAATCAAATGACCCGCAGTAATCGTGAGGCGTCTGGAGCTCAAGAGAGTACAGCATGTTGTTCGATGAGCAAATATACATTAAATGGTTATTCAGTCCATCACAAGTCAGACGGTGTACACGAGTTCCATTAGCCTGTTGAAAACAGCCAGAGTCGTTGATTTGTACTTCAGTCCCGCCCCTTATTAGGCAAGTAGCCAATCATAGATTTGGATTCTGGGGTGGCCATCAAGGGGGAGTCCATGCCACCCCTCTGGCCACGCCCCTTGGCTTTTGTCTGCTTTAAGAAAATAAAATACTTAAAGTCATTTTCACAAAGTCCAATTGTTTGTTTACAACGCCACCAGGAAGTGACTCCTGTGTAAGTCTGTCTGTGTGCGTCAGGACAAACAGATGTTTTTTGTTTATCAACATGACTTCAGAGTAAACTGTGTTTGTCGACACATTTCTCACTTACGTGTTTCATCGCAACTTTATTTGATCCATTAAACCAGATTTACAGATTTATTTTGAGAGATATTACATATAAGGCATGACGACTGATCGGCAATATCGTATCTCAGAGTATAAATATGTAAAGAAATGTATAAACCATGTTGACACAGATGTGACAGATCCTCAGATGTTTAAGATGTAAATAGAGTATATGAAGAACTGCTGCTAAGGTCTGTACAGTCTGCACTTCAGTAACGATTAAAAAGTGAATGTTTGTACTGTACATGTGAATAAAAACACTAAATCTTCTAATTTTACCTCGTCTGGGAACTTTCTTTGGAGAACAAATCTGTTTTATGTCAGAAAAAACCTAAAGATGTTCATCTTTGTCCACATTGTCAGCTGGTCTGTAGCAGCACCGAGCCTGCAGAGCATTCAGACAAATATTAAAGAGTTCTCCCCCCCTTCCTCCTCCTCACCCCTCCTCCCATCTCTCCCCAGGGAAATCCACGGGGAAATGGTTATCTCTGTTAGGCTCTGCGGCAGGTGTCACACACACCAAATTAGCCTGCAGGAAGAACGAAGCGAGGAGGAAGAAGACGAAGGTGAGAAAGGGAGGAGGGTTTAGGTGTGCATACTCAGTTGCATCCCTACAGGGTTAGGGTTAGGGTAGGGTTGCAACACAGCCTGAATAGTCCATTTCAACCTATGGCAAGGCAAGTAACCAATCACAGTTAAGGAATTTGTGGGGGCAACTTGGGTGGCCAATTTCGAGGGGGGCCCATGCTACCACTGGCTACCCCTCTGGGCCCCTGTATCTTTGTTTTTCCAGAAATCCTAAGTGGACGTCCATTGATACACTTTATTTACTTAATTTTTGGATGATGATGAGTCATTTTCCCGATATGTAGGGATAACAGTGCATGTTTTCTTGTGATAATGGGTTCATTTCTGGTAATCTTGCAAATAAAACGAGTCGGTTTCCTGTGAGAGGACGGACCACGTCACTCCAGGTGAGTTTAGCTGTTGGTTGAGTCGGATATCACTACAAAGGTCGTTCTCTGCAGGCAGGTACATATAGTGCACTCATTAAGCACATTAAATACATATTTCCCAAATGCTACATACATACATACATATGTTGAAGAAAACATAAAAAAGGATAAACATACCTATGTCGAAAAAAATTGAAAAACTGGTGTGGACGGCCTGCTGACCTGCCTGACTAGCTAAATGTTAAAGTGAATATCTCTACCACAACAGTTCAAGCATTGGGGCTGTAAACATAAATATTGTTTGATTAACTGACTGATGGATTATACATTTATACATATATACAAATATATATCCTTAATACATACATACATACATTTACGACCATTTATCTATACAAAAATACATAAACTCACAAACACACAAAGTTACACACATAATGGTTTAAAGGTTGCACTACATTCATAAATACTATACTGTATATTTATTTTCTAGTCTTCTGACTACTCAAAGCTCTTAACACGGCAGGTCACACCTACACATTCACACACTGATGGTAGAGACTGCTGAGTAAAGACTCCATCAGAAGAAACTAAACCATATGCTGCAGACGAAGCAGCGGAGCAACTTAGGGTTAAGTGTCTCGCCCGAGGACACATCGGACATGTGGCAGCAGATCGAACCCTCACAGCTGCCCTTAATAGAAATAAACGGACATACAACCATGAAGACTGCCATCCAATCATACATAAACCCAATCATCAACACATACATACATACTTGCATAAATACAACCAAAGCTGTTTTATTGATTATCTTTTTTTGTGTGTATCTCTGAAGTGTTGTGAAATAGTCCACCTCATTGTTAGACTATTGGTTCCTTTTTATTCTTGTTCACCTGGAGAAAATAACAGATGAGGGTCCAAGACATTTTAATAACACAGATTTTAAATTGAAGTTTAGATATTTACATCTTAAAGAACACCAGTCATATGTGAAATTATTTCCCTTTTCCACTTTACATAAAACTCAAAAACCGTCAGGCTCCTTTCTCATTAACACTGGGTTTCATTATCCGTCGCTGCTGCAGCAGCATTTACATTCTCATGATTAAAGTGTGACTTCCTAAATGATACATATCTTATAGAGCTGAACAAAAAGGGTGAGAGAGGTTTCAGTTAAATAAGATGAAAAGGAGACACAGAGGACTGGGGGGGGGGAATCACACATTTTTCTTTATTGGAAAGCATCAGAGAGCACGTACCTGTCACAATAAAGAATGCAAAGTAGATCACATAATGCTGCAGGGAAGCGAAGCCTGTCCACTTTGAATCTGACACACAATAATTTCATATATCAATCCAAGATCATATTTCCTCAGAGTTGTATTCAAACGTGGGCTGCGGCTCGGACTCTACCTGCAGAGCGATATCTGTAGGCGACAGATTAGTTCTTTAACAAGGCTTTGATAAGGCTAATGCACCTTCTATTAAATGCACTGGTAAGGCATTTCAATCACATTTCTTGAGCATGTTTCTATAAATCTATCCTGACTCTATTGTCGGGAGAAGCAGCAGCGTGAACTGAAGCCTACTTTTCGGGTAACGAATACACACGTCTAGATTATACGCTGAGCTACACCTGCAGCAGACACACGAGATTATCGTAAGGATCCCTTAAAGCAATGACATGAAGTTAAAAGTATGACTTCTTCTCAAGATATTGCACAAGAGTAACAGAAAAAATAAACTTCCCTGGATTCAGACGAAGCCAGACTCTTTATGTTTTTCAAGTCACAGTAACTGAAATAAAAAATTATGCTTCACTCAGAGCACGGGGAAACACAGAGGATCTGGGTTATTGCTTCTGTGTTTGGATAAAGAGCGACTTTCACACTGGGGGGAAAAAAAGCGACATTTACAGCAAGAGGTGCAAATGATGCTGAAAGTGTGTTCAGACCAAAAGTGAAGCAAATGAATGAAATCTGAAATAAATAAAGCGATTGCAGAAACAGAACGAGATGTGCAACTTGGATGAGAATCGTGCACATTTGTTTGTTTGAGAAAAACATGTGATGAGGGGGGCCTTTCTGCAACAAGATTCTGCTGCTTTATCAGCTCTGACCGGGGTGTTCCTGGTCGTCTTGCAGTAAAAACACCTGACCAATCACAAAGTGCATCCTCTTTTAGTTCAGCATTTTTTAAAACTGTTCTCGGTCAAATCTGTTATTTGGGTTCATAGCGCTGCAGGAAGACAGATTTCAGAAACTGTCACTCAGTGGAGACAGATGGACAGAGCCACCCACCCCCCCCCCTCCCCGGCTGAAACAGAGCACCATCAGTGAAATCCTGACCCAAGCTAACAGGTCATCAAACTGGGACCTGGTACTGATCCTAGCTAACAGGTCATCAAGTCACTGGAAGCAGCAGGACAATTATCCAGACCCAGTTCATGAAGGAGGAGGGAGATTTACTGATGTGATGTTTTTTTATTTTTAATAAACACAAATGAACCGGGGACAAACTTCTGCAAAAGACGCAAGATAGAACATCCGCTTCTCTTTTGGTCTGAAAACATTTTCCCCCTCAAAGAGTAAACACAGGGACATCATACTGACCGGCTGTTTGTGAAGCACAATAAAAAGAGCAGTAACAAGTTCACTTTGGGATTACAGCAACAAGGGCTCTGACAGGAGGAGTCAGTACTCCACCAACATGAGGAATAATCAGCAGAAATAATGGCTACAAGTAATGACGCCTAAACCCGAAGCATTCAGAGACTATGATCAACATATTCACAGACCTACTGAAGGAGTGCAGTTGTTCTCCTGTTATTGCTCTGCTCAGAATAAAGCAGTGGATGATTAAAAAAATTAAATCTTACTGTAAACATGGAACAAGGCAGAGTATTAACATTGTACGTTTGAAATCATCACAACATGAATCTTGAAATATTGAGGCTGGATGTGAACTGAAAGCATCATAAAAGGTAACAGGTGAGGACTTCAACGTTCACATAGGACAGCAGGTTTAAGACTTTAAACCGCCCTGCAGCCTGCGTGCTGCACAGGTCATCTGACAGGTATGATATGTTTGATGATAAAAGAACAGAAGCATTTCACAGAACATCGTCACCTCAGCCAAACTCCACCCTAAAAGATGGAGAACTGTAAGACACTTAATCCAGGAACAAGAACGACCTGCAGGTCCCTTAGTCAGGCCACAACATAATATATACATCAGTTCTGTAGAGCGTCTTCTCCACGCTCTGCAGGCCTTATGACTCTATATTTATAACTCTACATGAACATGTATCTACATGCAACCACTCAGCAGTAACGTAACAACAGTGACGTCAGCAGCGACTGTGGACTCAAATATATACTTTATACTTCAGGGGGGGGGGGGGGTCAGCGTAGCCGTTTCACGATTCACAATTCATGCTAAATAATTTAAGGGTTTGCTCACAGGAGATGAGCTCTGTGGCCTCGCACACACGTTCAAATGCTGGAACTAAGTCAGTCACTTAAAGGCTGGATGCAGTGTTTTTAAATAAAGGCGGGATTTCTGTTTTAAATGAAGTCTAAAGGACTAAAAGGTTAAAAAGTTGTAGGTATTGATCAGGTAGATTGTTTCAGGCGGCAGCAGTGCAACAGGCTGTAACGATTTAAAACCCTCAGGGGGGAAGACAACCAATCAGAGCACGTCCACTGAAAGTTGTTTTTGTCAGTGACCAGCTCAGATTGTTATAATAGAAAACAGCGGACACACTTGAATGGAACAAGGATTATGTTGCAGCCATCGCAGCATGTTTCACATCTGAAGTAATCTATTAAAGAGATATCAAACTGTAAGTACACATTAGTCATTTAGACCCAAAAATATGATCATGCTTAAAAAACTAAACAATTTAATGAACAATCACACGATGTAGCAGCCTGACGTCAGAGAAATACATCAACAACTAAAACGCTTCACAGGTTAAACACGTGCGAGGCCACAGATTACAGAGTTTCTCCTGCTTCACTGTGTGTGTGTGTGTGTTTTGTTGTGTGTGTGTTTATGTGTGTCCGTGGCATCACTTCTCCTGCAGCAGGGCGGGGATGTTGATGTTCCAGCCGATGGCCTGTCGGTCGAAGCCGCAGGTGAAAAGGTTGCACGACTGGTTCTCCTCGTTCCACGCTGTACAGCACACCATGCGCCTGTGACCCTACACACACACACACACACACACACACACACACACACACACACACACACACACACACACACACACACACACACACACACACACACACACACACACACACACACACACACACACACACACACACACACACACACACACACACACACACACACACAGAGAGAAGCGAGGGATGCATCTGTAATTCAAGTTAAACTTCAGTAGACAGATTCTATATTTGTCGAGAGATCACAATTATCAAACAAAATTCAATTAAATCCTGAAAAACAGGAGGATCTGTCTACTTCTTTTCTCACCATTCTGTTGCTGCGTGGAAGTCTGGCCAGCCTCACTCCGCTCATGTCAAACAGTCGGACTTGTCGATTGTCGTGCGGCAGAGCGATGATCCTTTGGTTTGCAGAGACGCTTATCCTGAAAGATCAAAAAGAAAAAGCTAATTACTGGATCCTCTTAAATATGCTCACTTAAACTCTTTACTCTAAAACTCAGCACTATATTTATACAGGTATGGCAGTTTGACTTCATCAGAATTCATCTTTCTTTTCTGTACTAAAATCTTTATTAGTCTGCAGAGAATAAAACAAGTAGAACTTCTTCTTTCTTCTTCAAATGCACCAAACAGCCAGCGTCCTCCCTCTTCTCACCTACCTGTTCACAGCTGAATCAGTGCGGATGGTTGCTATGGGCGACCTCATGTTCTTGAGATCCCACACCTTCACCGTGCGATCATCGCTTCCTGAGACCACATTGTCCCCGACTGTGAACACTGCAGACGTCACCGTGCTAAAAAAAACAGGAGACACACACACACACACACACACACACACACACACACACACACACACACACACACACACACACACACACACACACACACACACACACACACACACACACACACACACACACACACACACACACACACACACACACACACACACACACACACACACACACACACACAGGAATGGTTACACAAAGAAAACAAATCTGAACAATTAAAAGTGAAGGAAGTTTAAAGGGAAGTGGAGGTGATTCCTGTTCCACTAGTTCTGCAAACAAAGGAAAGTTTTAGGAGGGAAAACTTATTCAAAGACACTGTCATCATGCTCTCCCACATTCCCTGTAATTACTTGCACCCTACCACCTAAAAGACGACAGACACACTTGCAGTGTGTCCATTGTAACTTCTTCCTCCTGGAGAGGAAACATCAGAGTTAACAGTGTGCGATTCTTCATTAAAATGTGACTCCGTTTAAAAACTTGTGGAGGTGTCACCTTCACAGTGAGGTACCGAGGTGAGGGCAGGGTGACACCTGTGCTGCTTTTCTGTTACACAAGTGTTTGCATCAGAAACACCTTGATTTGTTAAGAGACGGCTCACACTGTTTAGAGTGTTTGAGGTGACGTGGAAGGCAAGTTTCACTCGTCTCTTCATAAGTTTACAGTCAGCTTCATGGACTCTGTGAGCGTTTCGACGCTTGATCAGATGCATCACTTTACACTTTGATGTGATTTGTTTATTGCAGAGCTTCACTGTGGTAGCTTTTCATTTCTCGGGGTGCATTAGAACACAGCTCACCCGATCAGCCACAACATTATGACCACTGACAGCTGAAGTTAAGAACATCTTTACTGCTTTACAATGGCACCTATCAGTGTGTGGGAGACGTTAGGCAGCAAGAGCACATTTTGTCCAGATACCACAGCACACCTTCAGAAGTCTGGTGGAGTCCAGGTCTCGTCAGATCAGGGAGGTTTTGGTGATGACTAAAAAATATAAATAATGCCAAAGAATATATTTTGCTGAATCATTTCATCAGCCATGTTGCTCACATTAGGAGCATGCAGCATCATCCTCTTCCTCCTCCTCCGCCCTCACCTTAAACCAAACAGGCGTGATGCACTGCTCCACATGATAGCACTGAGGTCCAGACTCTTCTTCCTCCATTATTTACAGAAAAAAAAAACTCTGATTATAGATTGAGATTAGCTTCACACGATCAAGCATCGTCCAGAGTTCCCCTCCAATATTTGCTCCATAAAACTGGCTTCCATCTTAATTCAAACTGACATGGCATTAAGGGCTCATTAGGGGACTACACTGTGCCCCATTAGAGCGGCCGAGGCTGCAGGAAGGCGCTGCATCGTTACAGGAACCATCTGACACTGTGGGGAACAGCCTCCCTCTGGAATCCAGAGGGAGGAGAGGAGGGTGGGAGGCCTAATCAGAAGAGGTAATTGATTAAAAGGTTGATTAAGGTTAAAGGGTTTGTAGACTGGGCGCTGAGGAGAGGGGGGGAGCAGTGTTACTTAATGGTGTCTCTGCAGTGAGTCTGACAGCCAAGGTCAAGACTCCTAACAATCGGAGACCTGGGGAGTGAAAAAGGAAGAGAGGGAGTAACTGCCAATTTCCACATAGTCCGTGCGCACGTGAGTGAAGCCGCAAGCAGCTGTACACACATCACAGGAGAACTACAAGATCAGAGGAGAACTACAAGTGCACAAGAGAACTACAAGAAGAACTACAAGATCACAGGAGAACTACAAGATCACATGAGAACTACAAGATCACAAGAGAACTACAAGATCAGAGGAGAACTACAAGAAGAACTACAAGATCACAGGAGAACTACAAGATCACATGAGAACTACAAGATCACAAGAGAACTACAAGATCACATGAGAACTACAAGATCACAGGAGAACTACAAGATCATAGGAGAACTACAAGATCACAAGAGAAATACAAGATCACATGAGAACTACAAGAAGAACTACAAGATCACAAGAGAACTATAAGGCCACATGAGAACTACAAGAAGAACTACAAGATCACAGGAGAACTACAAGAAAAACTACAAGATCACAGGATAACTACAAGATCACATGAGAACTACAAGATCACAGGAGAACTACAAGATCACAGGATAACTACAAGATCACAGGAGAACTACAAGATCACAGGAGAACTACAAGATCACATGAGAACTACAAGATCACAGGAGAACTACAACATCACATGAGAACTACAAGATCACAGGAGAACTACAAGATGACAGGAGAACTACAAGATCACAGGAGAACTACAAGATCACAGGAGAACTACAAGATCACAGGAGAACTACAAGATCACATGAGAACTACAAGATCACAGGAGAACTACAAGATCACAGGAGAACTACAAGATCACATGAGAACTACAAGATCACGGGAGAACTAGAAGCTATCACACAAACACACATGCTCACAGACACACACTTCTCTCAGCCACTATCCATGTGTGTGAAGGCGTCTGATGGCAGCAGACAAACGGGACATGGCGTTGCGTTTGTAGAGCAGGTTTTCTGTCACTTCTCGTTCGCTCTTGGTCGTTCGTTAGCTCATGTTCGCTCGTCGTCTCTCTGTAATTATGCCATGGTGGTGGGATAGAGGGTGTGTGTGTGTGTGCTGCACTTTTAGCCGCCATGGTTTCGCTGCCAGAGAGCGTTAGCTGTAATTGCCGGTGAAGTCGGTGGAAACGAGAGAGGCCGTCTCCCCTCCAGCTCTCAACCTCTGCCGCCTGTTAAACCATTCACACTCTTAAGTTTCTGCAGGAGGGAGGACGAGATTCCGCCGTTCATGAGACCTCGTTATGAATTACTGGAGCGTCTGCAAAATGAGCCGGAGAAACGGCAGAGAGACGGCAACGTGTTGTTGTTGTTGTTGAACAGGTTGCACGGAGAAAGGCGGGAATCTGTCCATCAGACTGTAGTAAACATTTAAATATCACCACCTGTTTAATTACAACGGCAACAAAAATAGAAGTCCCAAACACCCAATTCATAGCTCTCCTAACTTTTCACCCCCATATGGGACCCCTGAGCTCAAACGTTGTGTATACCTCACTCTGAAGACCATCTACTGCCTTTTGGGAAGAGAAGAAGAAAAGAGCCGAGGTGAAACAAAAAGGAGGCGGGCTGCTGTAACCAGTGAGACGCTGCATCTTAATCTCATTACACCCATTGTCTATGGAGAGAATTAGAGCGGGATTATACATGTTGGGGTCGTACATAATGAGCTCCATGTAATCCCCACACTCGTAATAAAAGGCTGCCAGCCAGCGCACGCGCACGCATGCACGCGTCCAGAGCGCGTGCACACACACGCACGCACGCACGCACACACTTCTTATTCCCTTTTCTCAAAGAGTGCTGCCACTGAAAGCCACAGACGAGCCTGACTGTCATCATTTCAAAATGAGCGGCTGCAATTGAGTGTTAACAGCGAGAAAAGTGCCAAATTACACAGAGTGGAGGATTAACGCAGAAACGAACAGAATTATGAACAGGAGAGTGAGGCAGAGAGAGAGGTAGAGAGAGAGAGAAAAGCAAAGCGTCAAAGTGAGGAGAAGTGCTCGATAATGAACGACAGGCAATTGCAAGGTTTGGCTTAGAGCAAAAAAATAAAAAGGTCTGTCAATTAATGTTTCACTGTTAAAATAAAAGTGCAGAGAAGGGAATGACAGAGCAGAGAGATGTTACAGCACCACCCTGTGGACAAAATAAGAACGGCAGGAACCATGGAAGAGACACACACACCTTTCACACATGAATTCATCATTTAAGGACAGTCAGGTCCTGATGAGAGCGTGCAGGAGGAGACAGACTGCTTATTAGGATCAGGGGGCTTGCAGGATAAAGTCCTGAAAAAACCTGGATTTTTAGGTCGGGTACAATCACTTCTATCTGAACCACTTCTCTTGCCCGCTTCCATCGCTGCAACACCTGTTGACCTGATAACTGCTCTCATATCTGACAAACCGAGGGGCGTCCAAAACGCCCGTGTGGGGGTGTCTTAAAAGCGCCTACCTTCTCTGGTCCAAACAAATCCAGAGCATTCAGGAGCAGAATCTAAAGTTAGAAGGAGGACATACTGGCTGCTGCATTGTTGTCAGAGAAGCCAGCACTTCAACATAGCATGTTTCCTTAATGTCTGATCAGATAGTAAGATACCTTTATCATTTCACTCTCTACACATCTTGCTGATTGGACCTTTACATTTTCAGGAGATTTTCAGGAGTGTGAAATATGTGTGACAGGTGTCAGACTTACTCGGTGTGTCCCTGGAAGACGTTAACAGAGTGGATGGACGGATCCCTGAAGTCCCACAGTCTGAAGGTGGTGTCTCTGGAGGAGGTGACCACCAGGCGCTGGGTGGGGTGTGTGCAGCAGTGTGTCAGCTCCTGGTCATGACCTGCAAACACACACGCCATGAAAAAAAACCTTGTTTTCACCAAATATCCTGAACCCCTCATCTATAGTCTGACAATGATATGCCCCCTCTGGGAACATACCAGTGAGTGCATGGACCAGTTCAGACGTCTCCACCTCATACAGGTTTGCAGCTCGATCCCAGGACGCCGTCACCACCTGTCGGCCTCCCACCAGCCAATCAGCTGCGATCACAACACCCTGGTGACTCTTCAGGGTTGCTGTGGCGACACGGACCGTGGGGACCTCAAAGGGCCCCTCTCCGTCCACCTCACCTTCCTCTCTGTCAGAAGAGTCCTGGTCTTCATCACACGGGGCCTTTGGGTGCACATAACACAAGTTCAAAGCTACAAAACTGTGAAATTAGGGGCTCATTTTAACGTCATTAATTTACCACAGTAAGAGAATGCAACTGTCTGTATATGCTCTTTTTTTTCCTAGGATATTCCAGTAAGGAGGAGAACTGTCGCTGGATACTCACACTGACATCTGGTGGTGGCTGCGGGGCAGGAAGCTGCACCATGTAGCGCCAGATGTGAGACGTCTGGTCCCCGGAGGCTGCAGAGAACAAGAGCATACGTCAACAAACACACACAACCGTCAGATCTGCAGGAAATCATCAGAGAGACGCCGAGAAAAAAATCGATCAAACAGTCACACCAAGATGTGAACTCTTACCTGTGAGCGCCATCTGCTCCGTGGGGTGAAACTTGATGGAGTTGACTGTTTGGTGAAAGATGAAAAATGTTCATTTGTTATATGACATGAAAGTAACCTGCTACATTGATTATCATTATTTTTGTTTAAGAACGTTATGCATTACTTGGCATGTCTGTGTTGTTGAAAAGTGATATAATTCAAGCTTTTGTGAGTATTACCTGATCCTTGATGTCCAGTGTACCTCAGCAGACATTTTCCTGTCTCTATACTCCACAGCAGAGCAGAGTGATCTGTGAAAGGACGGCATCGTGAACTCACTCACATTGTATTTCATGCAACAACTCCATGACTGAAAAAGCTCCAAACCGAAGATGGTGTCTTCCACAAATGCTTGGGTTTAAGGACAACAACCAACATTTTCAACATCTCGTTTAGAAACTAAAATTCAAACTATTGGCACTCTAACAAACCAACGTCTTCATCAAAACTAAAAAAAAAACATTAGCACTAACAACAGATACCAGGAGCACAGTGACGCTCTTTTAGCCTGAAACAATACCGCAGCGTGAGACAGATCAGAGAAGTCAAGTGAAATGGTGTACCTGCGGAGGCCGTGCCGAGGACCACCGGCTGAGTCCGGGTGACGCTGAGGTCCCAGATCCCGTCCCGGTGGCCCACGTACTCTTTGAGCAGCTGACATAGAGCACGCGACCCTGCGGTGGCTTTAAAACTGGACACAATCTGAGCAGAGAGGAGGAGAGAAAAGGTTTCATGGAGGGGAAAAGACACGGGCACCAAATTTAAACCCAACAAGGTGTCGCTTAATTCAGAGGCCAGGTGAGATTAAAGTACCTACAGGTGCACCAATATGAAACCTGCAGAGATGATGCTGATGCGGATTTCTTTGGTGAAATATCTTGATCCTAAATACAATCATATGTAATGCTTAGTTGACAAGCACTCGGGATCCTGACAGGTTATACGTTTAATGACAATAAGATGATGCGAGAAGGTTGAGGACCACCAGGCTGAAGAACATGTTTCCCCCGATCAGTCGCCCCGAGCAGTGGGCCGGCGCTACATTTGTATCATCATAACTTCAACAATCGTATCACAACCTTCAGCACAGTCTGAGGATGACAGGAAAACTGGATCCAGTATCTCAAACATGACACAGTTATTTTTAAGTTTTATACTTTCTTGCACCTCTCGTTTCTTAACCAGCCACCCCGAAGGTCACTTTAACATTTCATATAAAGGTGCAGCAGAGACAGGAAACAGACGGGGGTCCTCAGAACTGATGCAAAAACAGGGCGGGGGCGGTTGTTCTGCCTTTATTGAAATAAGACAGTGGATAGAGTTTGAAACTAGGGAGAGAGAGAGAGAGTGTAGAATGAGGCGTGTGAAAGGATCTGCAGGTCAGACTTAAACCTGGGCTGCCCGCTTCGAGGACAACATCCCCTGTACATTTTTTATGTTTTCACAATCCCTTTTGGCAACATGTTTCTCCTGAACCCACAACAAAAAAACGGAGCGCAAGATATACTCGAGTTGAGAGTGCTCCGAGACTGAGACAAGGCTAAGACCATAAAAATCACTGAAAAATCATTCTCCTGTGTGCAGTGTGTCACTCACTTAGACCGTAACACCGGGAAGGTTGCAGGTTAAGAGTTATATACTGTATATATATATATATAGATGTTATTCATTCTTTTAGAAAGGGGAGTTTTCCTTCACAGTAATGACGTGGAAAGTAGCCCGTCAGTGGTGATCTTGATTTAAAATCTAAAGTCTGTCCAGTCTGAGACCAAGACAAGACAGAGTAAAAATGCTTTTGATACCGAGCAAGAACAAGACCAGTCTTGAGACCCAAGACCCGTATAGAGGTCTGCAACACTGGGCTGCAGTCTTCCTCGCAGCGGCCATGGGTTTGAATCAGACCTCAGCCCTTTGCTGCACCCCCTCTCTCTTCAGCTGACCTATCTAACAAAGGCAAAAAGCCCTCAAAAATAACTTTTAAACACTATTTGAAAGCATCAACATTATGTTCAGGTTTCCATCTAAGATTTAGAAGTCTGCATACTCATGTAGAAAGCATTGCTAGTTTACTAAAAAAAATAATTAGTGTGATTCATTCAGACTTCTGTGACGTGTTTATCTTCTTGGTGGCCTTCGTTACAGCCTGCAAATTCAATAGTTTTCATCCTGTTGCCGTATCCGAGGATGTTTCTGCAGGGGCACACAAGTTGATAGCTTCAAGTTCCACTAAAATGACTATGTGTCACTGTGGTTTGAATATAAACTATCTGACCTGCCGATGATTCGAGTGGTGCACATCTAAAAATATCTGGTGTTCAGTTACACACGTCAGGCCTCCAGATGAACTAATAAAAGGCTGAGCTGCAGTTTCAGTTGTCACATAGAGATCATAAGCTGCACCGTGCATGCTGCTGCAGGCCGACAGATGACCACAGCGGTAAGATCACATCACTGGCAGTTATGAGACGCAGCAGCAAAAGCATCTGCTCAGGCTGAGTTAATGAACGCTCTCATTCTGCCTGTGCGGTTCACATTCATGTTACAGTAATAACAGTCTTATTGTTTCAAACACAATGAGCAACAGGAAGCACAGCCCAGTCCTGTCAGGGTCGACCGAGCACACTCTGGAGTTAGTGCACATCATTAGTGTTGGGTCATGTTTCTCAGACAGCTGATGGTTAGCTGTTTGATTATAAAGCATCTAGTTCTGTCAGGAGATTGACGAGTCTGACCTTGACCCTCTTTGCTGACATTCAAATCAGAAGAAAAACCGCCCCTTCTGCTCTTCACCCAGCTGAGAGTTTGATGAACAGGAAACATGCAGCAGCAGGTTCATTAGAGCACAGAGATGGTAGAGGTGGTGTGCGGACAGTCTATGGTCGTACAGTGATCACAGGGAATAAACATCACCACCCCCTCCCACTGGCTCCAGGTGAATTCTCCTGATTATATCCTGCTGTGTTCTCACATCAGCTCACTCTGACTTTCTGCAGAATAAATACGAGGAGGCTGGAGGAGAAACTCTGGGTGAGGTCAGAGAGAAAAAGTTGTTTCAGGGCTCTGCATGTCAGGAGGAGTTCCACAATTTGTGGCAAGACTTCAGGGGTCACTATGGTATTTCTTTTCTCTCGCAATTCCAGATGTTTTTGCTCCTACTAGGGCAAAGGTTTAATAATACCTTAGTTTACCTTCAACTCTGATGTACTTATTAGGTTTTAGGTTTCAAACTTTAAAAGCTGTGTATTATTTTAAAATGATGGGACCGGTCTTTAGGATGCATCAGAGCGGAGCAGACGAGGAGTCAAGGTCAGACATTAAAAGTTAAAAACCAGACCCTCCCATGATGCTTCAGCGACAAACATTCAGGACGTTACCCATGAATCTCCTCCCCACAACTCCCATGTGGCCACCCTGAAGTTGCGAGGTCCGCCTATTTTTCGGTGGAGCGTGTACAAACGCTACGTTGACAGGAGATTAAACAGCAAAGAGTCAAAAGAGAGGGAGTTTCCTGACAAACACTGAAAGTTTTAACCTGTTTGAATCCAAAAATCTGATTAATGCATCACCTCTTAAAGGTTTCATGTATTTACCCACATCTTAGCATCTCATGAAGCTTTCTTGTCAGTCTGATACCTTTACCCCAAAGACTTACAGCCCAAATAATGACACAGATAACAAACATCATGACCGAGATGGAAAAGTGGAAGACAGCGGGATGGAGGTACCTTGCTGGTGGAGGCTTTGTAGGTCGTCTTCAGTTTCTGTGACAGCTGACTGGTGCTGTGGCTCGCTGTGTGACAGACACACAAAGAACAGTGTTTGAAATTCACCACCCAGTAACAAACTGGTTTCACTGCTGCACTAATGGCCCATTAAAGTGTCAACTCTGTGAACTGCAGCCCGACGACACAAAGCCCCGAGTGTGTTTTCCCGTTATAAGCTGTCACTTTTGTCTGTTAATGACTAAACCAGTGCAGAGGAGTAAAGGCTGCGTAGTCAGCAGGGGTGGAGGTGTGTAATTAATGTCCGGGAGGTTGTTGAATAAAACAAGATTAACAACTCTAAAGGATAAAAAAGTATCGCTCTCTCTGGACGCACTTCTTCCAGTAAGGATTTCATTTTACAATCATGCTACCAAACTCAAACACAAAAGCCCTTTTCATACTGTTATTTTAGAAAAACTGCATTAATGAAGCTCAGCCGTCACATCTTTGTACGGTCACACTGATTCTGTGATGCCCAAGAGACGGTATGATCTGCAGAGGGATCTGCCAGCAAACCCTCTGCAGTCAACTTCAACGGGCAGGCCCCATGTCTTCCATTTGTCTGCAACCAGATCTACATATCTGGCCTTCTTACTCTCAGTAGCCTCCTCCATCCAGTCTTCCCATGTTCACCACCTGTCTTGGTCTAAGTGAGGTGATTGTGATGGAGTCAGGGAACAGGAGCCGTTTCCACGGGTCGACCACTGGCTCCGCTGACCCTGTCTCACATCTGTAACGCCTCTGTAACAACCTCTGAAGAAGCTTGTAACAGCAGTGTGAAAAGGGCTTAAGATTCTCCCTGCAGGTCCCTCTTTGCTTATTTGTCATATTTGTGTAATTACATTCTGAGCCAGCGCAGCAACTAATTTCTATTTTCATTTTTCAATAACTTTACGATTCTTTCTAAAATTATTCCATTAATGGTAGGGATTCTAATAAATTCCTGCAAAACTGATTTCAACAAACATGCTTTAAAATACACTTAAATCTAAATGAAGCTACCTTTGCCAGAAGCCAGGCAGACTGTGTACAATGATGGTATGAATCAGCGTACCTTTGGTTTTCAGAGCTCCCTTTGTGGGGTCTCCTCCCTCGACCGTCTGTCCATCTCCAGTCAGACGCTCGTTCAGAGAGTCGATCTCTCGACGCACTGAGACATTGGCACAGAGACGGGACGTCAGTGACATCATCACCTGAAGATCGATACAGACAGGTGTGTGTGATCATAGAAAACAGCTACTCACGTTCAAGGTTTTCAATGTAGAGGTTTTCAAACTCGCGCTCAATCTGTCCGAACAGGTCGAGGAGGTTGCTGCGTAAGGCGAGGGGCAGCTTGGAGTCCTGAAGAGACGGAAAGATAAGAACAACAAGTTAATATAACAGACAAAAGGCTCTTAAAATAAACATATTATAAAATGTAAGAACAATGAATAGTGAGACATCAGGTTCATGTACTTAGAAGCGCTGTATTTAATTTAAAGCTGGTTATTAAACGGAAATGAAAACAGATGCCTCTTTATGACCCGTATGACCATCATGAAAAATATTTATCATCATTTCTTATTGGGGCCATCTGGTTGGTGTCAGGGGAGGAGATTTACAGCACGCTGCAGAAACAAGCGTGTACATAGAGTTTCAATGCAGAAGACGGAGAGATGGAAAAGAAGAGCAAAATGAAATGGGATTTAGATTTAACTGCTTTACAAAAAAGTGTTTGAGTTATCATCTGAGTTTACTACAATAGAATTTGAATAATCGGAACCATATAAGGACTTAAGTAAAGTATAAAAAAACATTACATGGCATCTCTCCGCTTTAATATTTAATAGACTGTAAATATTGATGTTTGAGACCTGATAACTGCTCTCATATCTGGCGAACCGAGGGTGTCCAAACGGCCCTGTGGGGGTGTCTTAAAAGCGCCTACCTTCTCTGGTCCAAACAAATCCAGAGCATTCAGGAGCAGAATCTAAAGTTAGAAGGAGGACATACTGGCTGCTGCATTGTTGTCAGAGAAGCCAGCACTTCAACATAGCATGTTTCCTTAATGTCTGATCAGATAGTAAGATACCTTTATCATTTCACTCTCTACACATCTTACTGAGTGGACCTTTAAAACATTGGTACTTGTTAAAGGTCCAATGTTTTGAATTCTTACCGCAGTACCAATTTTAAACCCCAGGGGTCAGAGTAAAACATTACTCCTTTCACACTATCGACCACCGCTTAAATTACGGTTCTTTCTTGTTTTGATGCTCCAGCTCTTAAATTACTGCCTTGCTTCCTGAATGCTAATTGTAGCTTTTGATACTCATGTTCTTTCACTCTCTGCTTGCCTCTTGCTTTTTATATTCATGATCATGTTTTCTTAATTCTGAGTCATTCTGAGGTTTAAATGGAAAGGGTGAAAAACAATCAAACGATGCTGTTAGGAACACAATACAACCTGCAAGTTTACCTGATTAAATCAGCAGCCAGCCGTGCAAACACTGAGCATAGAGAACTACGTCTAAACTTAAACTCATCACTTTTAACTCACCTCCATGCTGACCTCCTAGAGTCACCAGTAAATATCTGACCACCAGTCTATGCTGCACTATCATGCAGAGAGAGAAAGACGTAAAAAAAAAAGCTGCAGCCAAAACAAAGGATTCAACAGGCTGCGTTTAACAGCTCGCCTCCAGAGAGCTGCCGCTAACTTCTCGTGCCACCTGAAACACGAGGAAACCAAACACTCAACTGTCACTCTTCCTCTTGGCTCAAGTTCAAAACCAACAGTTTGTCACGGTGACGTTTACCGCCTGACCATTCTGTCAACACACTTTGTGAATGAGCACACAACAGGCGGACCCTTATGGATTCAAAGCTGCTTAGATGTGGCTCTGAAAGCTGCTGCGGCTAATAATGACAGCATTGAACAGACTGTGTGTTATATATACAGTATATATATGTGGGTACATAAAGCTGTCTGCGTGAGCTGCAGGGGGTCCATGGGTGCCATTAAACAAAGTCGCCATGTTTGGCAAAAGACAAAAAGGTCCGGTGAAAAGACTCATCAGACCTGGACAAACGGCACATATTAAAACTTGATGAGACAACAGACGGCTGCAAGCTGAGCTCTGGTTTTAGAGGCCCAGAATTCAAGGGCAGAGAAAGTAAAGGCTAATGCAGGGCCATGGTCAAAAGCAGGGCTGGGAAATACTGACAAAATCTCATTATTTCAGATACTTCGATCCAATAGTTTAATCTCCAACATCCAAAAACACGATACGATAGAACTCAGCGTAACTGCACATATTCAAAACCTAAATTTGGGACTTACTAAGACCAATGTAAGACCCAAACACAGATACATTTATTCCATTTTGCACCACTTTTCAGACATTATGTTGGACTCAACAGCTTTGAGTCCCATTTTCTTGAGTTTAAAAGCCTTCATGCACATCTTGCAAGTTTTCCTCATAATCGTCGTTTGTACTCGCTAACCATTCTGTGGATTTTTCATCTGATGCATTCACCATCTTCTTCTCGATTTCGTTCACAGTTTGTGAATGTGTACGTAATTCTCTGCAGTAAAAGCTGTGAAAAAGCGGTGAATACCAGTTACAGTTTGTAGTTACTACTATCAAAAAGTTTTATAAAGAGTTATGAAGAACTTGAAGCCGTTTGGTGAAATTCTTATTCATATGAGGGAACTATGACTTGATTAGCAGAATAAGCCATTTAGAGCCCCCTCTGCTGACTCATCCTAGGATTACTCCAAAATACGTTTTCTTCATTATCTGAAACTTGGCCCACGTTTAGTTTGGACATCCAGCACTGTAACACTAAAAGTCACTCACAAACACTCTTTATTTTAGAGGTCACGCTCATAAATATCTCTCTGCAGCACACTCCCAGCTAACAAGGCAACAACCAGGATGTTCTTGATCAAACATGAACAGCTTTTATCATCGGAGCTGCTGCAGACAGTTTGCATCAGGAAACGCCTGCTGGTATATAAAGGCTTACTGTCCTTCCTCTCTGCAGGAACAAAATCAATCGTAGCTTCCACTTGATAAAACAGACGAGTTAATAACTAACTCCAGGGAGCTTGAATACAGGCCTTTGTTTTAACTAACAGAAGTCAGTAACTTACATGTTCATATGCACATGTTTAGAAGAGGAGCCGGACTGATGGAAATGTCGGTCATTATCTCCAGTTACTGATGTATAGTTATGTTATACATATGGTCTATGTTCCATATGTTATGTATTTTAAAAATAACAAATAAATAAAAGAAGCCAACACTACAAAAAGACATAACTTCTTTAAAGACTCCATTTATATCGAGTCTGTTCAAGAAGGGGTCCAGGATGAATTCAAATAAAAGTATCTGGTCCTACCCTCTTTATTCCTCTTCAGCTTTATCTATTGACACTTTCAAAATAAAGCTCCCAGCACTGTCTGCAGCACATGGAGCACAGCATCAGGGCTCAGCACTTTTGGTTTGTTATGTAAAATAATGTTTAGAGTTTTTGATTTGAGAGAGCAGCCTCCAGAGAACCTTCAGAGAGTCGTATCAGTGCTAAATCTGAATTTCCTGAGGGAACCTTCCCAAGGGATTAATAAAGTTCATCTCTATCTATCTATCTATCTATCTATCTATCTATCTATCTATCTGAGTGCAGAATCCACACTTGATGGTTTTATTTCATTCTGGTCAAAATGTTCTCAGTATATGCATTTGTAGCTTTAGACTTTTCTCGTCTAAAAAAAGTAAAACATCCCATTTCAATCGGGCTCTGTTGAGAAAATGTGAAATCTAAAAGATGACCCACAAACAACAAGCAGGAACACGTTCACTCCAAAAGCACTTCTGTGGTTAACACAACATGACACAAACATTTCCTCCAAGGAGAAACCTCATACAGAAACAAATTGAAGCATGGAGCCTTGAATGTTGCAACACCCGTATAAATATAAAAGCAATGCAGTTAAACCGGCTGGGACTGTACTCTGTCACTGTCACTGACAAAGAACAGCTCTGCTACGACACGACAGCATGACACACAAAACACTCAAGAGTAACTTTCTTTTTTCAGCAGATCATGACTACGAGATACTCTGCCTTATGAGCTGCAATTTCACCAACATCTTAGTCTGCAGCCATCCTAGTGTGTATGTGTGTGTGTGTGTGTGTGAGAGTGTGTGTGAGTGTGTGTGTGAAAGAGAATAAAAGCGTGTGTGTGTGTCTCCCTCACCTGTCCCTCCAGCATGTCTCCTCTTGTGATGCCTGGCGTCCTCTCCTCTGTGCTGTTCGTGCGCCGGATGGATAAACTGTGAGCTTTGCGCTTCTGCTTCGGGTGACGGACAGCAGAAGCTGAGCCGCTGCCGCTTCCTCCCTCAACAGGCATCCCTTCTACCTGTCAGGTGGCCCTGCCCCCGGCTCACCTCTCACCTGAGAAGCAGGTAAACAAACGCCAGGCTTGCAAGTTGGACTAGGTTATCACCAGTTGCCTGCAGGTAAAAAAAGGAGGTAAAGTTCAGGTTCACAGTCTCTACAGTCTCTAAGTGTTCCCAGAGATCCAGACCATTTCAAGAAGACATATGCACATAGAATAGAACAATAGAATAGAATAAAATACAATAGAATAGATCTTTATTGTCTACCAAATGTGGAAATTTATCTTAAATTCTCCAGATATATATAGCAGGATGAAAACATTCAGGCTAGGGCTGCATGATTCTTGCTAAAATGTGGATCAGGATTCTTCTCCCTGAGTTCTGAGATCACAAAAAAAGGCTTTAACTCAAAGAAAAACATGTGCTGTCTATTCTGAGGTCTGATTATTGAATTAAAAATGTGTTTCGCTTTACGTTGTGTGAGTGTGACTAAAGTAGCATTGGAGATAGTTGTGAAGCATATACGTGAACACGTAAATTATTCTGAACACACAGACGAGCAAGTGAAAAGCCATCATCTAGAAATGAGATCCCACCTATACATTTATTTTTATGATTAATCATGCAGCTCTAATTCAGGCAGTCAATAAAACAGACAAACCATGTCATGGTTTAGATCTCATCCCAATGTGTGAGGTTAAGGATGTTTATAACACTTCAATGACTTCTTAAATACATAGTTGTTTAGTTGCCAGGCAGACTCTATAGAGCCCCCCTGAGCTCAGAGGCTCAAACTAGCAGCAGAGAGGATGGGATGTATCTGCTTGGATGCTCCTCACTTTCTTCCTTGTCCTATCAGTGAATATTCATGGTTGAAATTTTTCATGTTTTTAATTTTCATTCATTATTCTGCCTGCTGTTAACACAATCTTAAAGAATTAATACTTTACAGTGCAGATGTCTGAACCAGCAGGAAGATTAAGATTTACTTTATTGATCCCCTGTTCTGTTTTCACACTCTGTAGTTATGCAACACACATAGGCTGAAGTACACACACATGCACTCATGGAGAGATGTAAGAGTGATGGAGCTGCCAACAGTGGGCTAGTTTGGTGCCTTACTCCTTGCACCTCTGGTAGCTGGAGAGGTGCCAGATCACTTCCTGAGCACCTCTGCAGTGCCAACTTCCATATTTGGTCCGTACCTGGACTTGAACCGAACTCCGGTTCCCAACCCAAGTCCCTACAGACTGAGCTACTGCTGCCCCTAACTAGCCAGTTGGGGGCCCCCCAGGTGTGGCAGAGTTTAAACCACAGAAGTGGCTCAAAATGTGCAAGTTTCCAATGACAGAAACCCCCCTAAGGTGGCCCCATCTGACAGCACTCTATCTTGTTGCCCTGTCAAGCGTTGCTTGCATTATTGCTATGAAAACCTACTTTTGAAAATGAAAGTCAAGATATTTTTTGTTGATGTCAAAACCTTTATGACATAATGGTAATGAACGCTGGTTGGAGGGCCCCCCTGTGATTGTATGCCTAGGGCCCCTGCAGACAGTAGGATCGCCACTGCTCATAATATCGTTATGAAGGTGTATGTTTATAATTAATATGATGACCAACAGGGCAGTGCATGAAAGATACAGCTAGATTAATTTATTTAAATGCTAAAGAGCAAAATTTATATAATAGTGACATCTTACGTTGTTATCCCATTTCAAAGCAGTTATAGTAAATATAACGCATGCTAAATAAATATGCAGTGTAGCTTTCACCATTCAGGATCAATTATAGATTAAATTTAGACAGAAATATGTAAAATAAGGAAACTCACCGCTCACTGATTTACAAGCTAGCACAGGCTAACCACCGTGTATCACCTTCACAGCGTTTCTAACGTTTAAAATGAGTGAAAACAACATTAAGGAAGAGCTGTAACCTTCCTCACTCGATGTGAAATTATGTTAAACCTTCAACTGGAATATATCGACATGTTGTCGACTTATTTACAAACGTTTACGACGCGTTTTAGTTTGACAGGTATTAGCATTAAAGCTAAACGTGGACACGTCACGGATTCTATTGGTGACGTAGTTTGTATTTGCAATGTTTGTAGCCAATGGGCGGCCACGCGGATGTGAAAGCGTCCAATGAAAAGCCGTGATCTCAGACAGAGGAAGTGAAAGCTAGGTTGTTCGACACAGGCTCTCACAGGCTCAAATTATCGTCGTAGATAAACGCACTAAACGTTAACGGACGTGTTTCATCCACCGGGAACAGATAACTCTCTGTGTGAGTAATGTGGCGTCTTATCGGGTTCTCTGTAAAATGTAAATATGGAGCAGAGTTCATACTTATGTCCAGTTGTCAGAGGCCTGGGTGGAGCGGGCTCTGCTGTGGTTGATGGCGTGTTGACAATCCGGGTTCAGTGGAAGTCCCGGACTGGATTATTGGAACGGGTCTATTTAGTCTCACGTACCATAAATACATGGCTAAATGCTAAAGAAGAGGATTCGAGCAACTAAAAATATTTTTCGAGGTTCTAAACTACCAAGCGGCAGCCTCAGTGTTAAAAAATGCCAAAGTGCATAATCTTGCAGTTCCTCAAGTGTCCACTAGAGGCTGGCTGCAAAAGCAGAGGAAGTCACATACACACCCATTTAAAAAAAAAAAGAAAAAAAGAAATGTCTGTTTTTACAGAGATTAACATATTTACAGCCTGGTTCAAAAAACCAAATAGGTGTGATTAGCTCATGTCTCGATGGACACACACTGTACGGGGGGTGAATGTTTTGATGACTCATCAGTTTTGATTTGATGAAGGATAAGAGTTATTCACAATAAGGCGTGTAGCTGACCTGATTGACAGGTGGGCGCGGTGTAACGGTTTGTCAGGAGGTTTAAAACCCGCCTCAGCTCCAGCTCTCAGTCTGTCGTTAGGTTGACTGAAAGTTAGACTGAGACAGCATTTCCAGCATGGAGACCGCCATCAATGGGACTCCAGCGCCCCCTGCAGGAACAGACGGGTGACTTCACTCAGGCTGCACTAAACCTCTTATATTATGACTGAAAAGAAAATAAGATAAGATTTTTTTGAGTCATGTCTTGTATTTTTTCATTTCATGGGGACTTTGAACTATTGAAGAAAATAATAAATATTCTGCCATCTTCAAGTAGTTACTTACCTATCAACCTAAAATGTAGTCTACTTTTATACGTTTAAAAGGTCTTTCAATTATGTAAAAAAAAAAAAAATGTGACTCTGATTTTATGATCATTCATGTCAAAGTTCATCCTGATCCCTTTTTAGTCCAGTAGGTATCTCGTGTCTATCGATCCTGATTGGCTGAATCCAGTCCGGGTTTTCCCTCCCCCCCTCAGCTTCAGTCCCATGATTGGTGCTCTGTTTCTGTCAGGCCATGGTGCGGGCCGTGTGGGCGGTGCTTCGAGTGGTGTCCTGTCAGGGAGCGGCTGCGCTGAAATCAAACGTACTTGCTTCCTTCAGAGCTGCACCACCAAGGCCAAGAGCTGTGAACACACCTTTCAGCGCGTGCTGCAGAGCGACACACAGGTAAAACAGGCCTCTGTGAACTATGGATTAACCCGGGATAATCCTGCTGACTTTAAACCGAGTGAACGCTGTCTGTCTGCTGAGCTGCACTGAATCCTGTCTGCACACGCTGTTATACTAAAAATGTAATGCAACCAAACTCCATTTACTAAAGTCTTGAATTTGATTCCGGTTTGCGTGTTTTTAACATTTTGAACTTTCGACTAAATAACTCAAAGATTAAGTTTATTCTCTTTAATTCGGCTCGTAAAACTGAAGTTAACAGCTTATTCTGCGGTATTATTTTAACATGTACTTCTTGTAAACACTGTGGCCGAGCTAACCTAAAACAGGTGATGACACTTTCTGGAAAACTTCTACCTATTCCTAATTATTCTAAACTATCATTGTAACTATTGGACAAATAATTAATTAGGAGTAATTGATTCAAAATGCTTTAATTTATTGATGCCCTTTATTAAGCTTATACAAGCTGCTTAAAGGGGGCTTCTTTGTAAGTAATTGTGGGTTGAGTAACTGACTAACGGGTAAGGTAGTCAGTTAAATGGCATCTCCACCTGAAGTCATTAAAGAGGACATATTATCCCCCTTTTGTGTGTGTGTGTGTGTGTGTGTGTGTGTGTGTGTGTGTGTGTGTGTGTGTGTGTGTGTGTGTGTGTGTGTGTGTGTGTGTGTGTGTGTGTGTGTGTGTGTGTGTGTGTGTGTGTGTGTGTGTGTGTGTGTGTGTGTGTGTCTTTTATGCAGACTACAAACAAAGGACTGGATGAGTTTATTTCACATTCTATGGGTCGCAGCATCTGTTTTTACACGACTTTAAACAAGGTTGCAGCTCTTGTCTTTATGTTCATTCACCTCAAAATCTGTTCCTTGCCTGTTGATGTGCTCTGAAGTCAGGTGAGACCCCTTCAGTCTGCAGTCAGAATGCCTGAGATCACCACCGACCACCTGGACGAGAAGCAGGTGCAGCTCCTGGCTGAGATGTGCATCCTCATCGACGACAACGACCACAAGATTGGAGCGGACACTAAGAAGAACTGCCACCTCAACTCCAACATCGACAAAGGCATGTCTCTGACACGTGGGACACCTGAGTTACTACGAGCACTTTTGAAGATCTGATTTAAAACTGAATTGTTTCTGTTTTATCAGGTATGTTGCACAGAGCGTTCAGCGTCTTCATTTTCAACAGTGAAGAGAAGCTGCTGCTTCAACAGAGGTCTGATGCCAAAATCACTTTTCCAGGTAATCAATGAACCTTCCAGTTAACCTCCTCTTTCTATTGTCCCGTGTCCTCATTGCTTCGTATGAAGTGTAACTACTCTTCCCCGTGTCTTCTGCTCACAGGCTGTTTCACAAACACGTGCTGCAGTCACCCACTGCACACAGACAGCGAGCTGGAGGAGAAGGAGGTGATCGGCGTGAGGAGAGCCGCTCAGAGGAGACTGGAAGCTGAACTGGGAATCCCCATGGCACAGGTGTGTGTGCGTGCGTGCGTGCGTGCGTAGAAGTCCTGGCTGCTGTAATTAAAGAGGATTATTGAGGAGCATCTGATCTCTACCTTCCTCTCAGGTGACTCCAGACGAGATGACATACCTGACGAGGATCCACTACAAGGCTCAGTCAGACGGTGTGTGGGGAGAACACGAGATCGATTACATCCTCTTCATGCAGAAGGTAACACTGTCCTGTCTGATGATTAACATCACAATACCTGATGGGTGTTTGTGTGTTTATCACTTATTCACCTGGAGCGAGTGGGAGGGGTTTTATTCCCTGTGATTGCTGCACGACCAGACTGTCTGCACGCCACCACTACGATCTGCATGCTCCAATGAACCTGCTGCTGCATGTTTCCTGTTCTTTTATTTTTATGTTGTTATGTTGTCGTTGTCTAAATTCATATAATCTGTGTGTGATTTTTGTTAGCTTGTTCTTGCTGTGTCGTCTTTGATCGGAGAAAATCGCAAACTAATAAGTTCTAGTCCAGGAAGAGCTCCTGTCCTTACGTGTTCTTGGATTTCCTGTTAAATCAAAAAGAAAGAAGAACTTGAACATTTAAGTGTCGGTCTGCCGGTTACTGGATAATAATTGGCTAAAAATAAAACTTAAATTTGTGTCTCTGCAGGATGTGGACTTGAGTCCAGACCCGAATGAGATCCAAAGTCACTGTTACGTGAGCAAGGAGGAGCTGAAGGAGATGTTGGAGAAGGCGAAGCACGGCGAGCTGCTGATCACGCCGTGGTTCAGTCTCATCGCAGAGACTTTCCTCTTCACGTGGTGGGACAACCTGCACAACCTCAAACAGTTCATGGATCACAACAAGATCCACCGCATGTAAACCCGGCAGGGACCCAGTTCACCTCGGGCCGTGTCACGCTGCACGCTGATCACCTGCAGACCCTCAGAAGAACACAGTAGAGATGTAGGACGTCTACGCTTGCAGAGGAGCAGCGAGGGGTGATGTGGTTTAACAGCAGAGGAAATGTAGGACTGGAGCTCTGAGGTGCACTCGTCTACATGAGAGGTCACTCAAGTAGACCGACTCGTAGTCTTAAATTCTGTAGAAAACACTCGTCAGGTAGCCGCATGCTGGATTTACAGACTGAAGGGGAGACATTAAAAACTTATTTACAACTGTATGAAGGAGAATATTTTTTTATAGAAAAATGTAAAGTGCCTGAGTCCAGAGGTATGTGTTAGGGAGCATGTTTGATTTTAGCATGCAGATCTAAAAAGTCTGTATCTAGATCAGGTTGATCCAATCCAACTTAAACCCGAGGGTGAGCTGGAGTCACTGAAATTTGGGATTTGCAAATAAATCTGGATCATTCTGATAAACCTTTTGAACATCAGAGCCCTGGATCATGTTATCATCATGTGTACATATGAAAAACCAGGATCCTCTTCTTCCAACATTTCCCAAATTAATCAAAAACCTGGATTCTGATGAGAATGTAAAGGTACCCAGAAACATCTTAATGTGCTGATGTAAAGCCTCAACAATCACTGTCACTCTGTAGATAGTAATAGTGTCCGTGGACATAAGCTGCATCTTTGTACACTTTTACACAATAAAAAGTTTGATTGTGCTCAGTGGCTGTGGATGAGTCTGTTTAAAACTGAAGCAATGCACTCCCGAAAACATCTAGTGACTTTCAGAAGGACTGCTCGCTCACAGCAGGAGACTATCCCTCCACACATCGAAAAAATCGGCAGGTTGACATGGGGACTAATTTATTCACTTCGGCTTACAATACAAAGAAATGTACGTTAACATTGATTTCTGAAGCACTTTGTAAACACTGAAGCTTCAGTGTCCACCACATGGCAACCTGTGTGAGCATCAACTCTAAAGAGGAGGGGGGGGAGACCGCTCTCGACAATGTTTTGAATTTAGACTGCAGTACCCATTTTAAACACTAGGTGTCACAGTTACATATTGCTCCTTTAATGTTAACCTTTTCTAACAATTGGTTACAAAAATGTTTCCCTCAGTTTAGCTACATCAAACACATGTAGGATTGTTTTAGTTAAAGAAGTGTCGAGTTCAGTGTGTAATTGATAGAGAGCTTTATTAGCAGGCTTGAAGAGCAGGCTCATGACCTTTTTGTTACATCATTACCTGTCATGATAGATCATAAAGCTGCTGCACAACAGAACATGTTTTACAGCAACATGAAAACATTTAAATCACAACTTAAAATACACATTTTCCTGCAGAACAATGCATATATCTTGTATATTATACAATATACAATGCATGTATATTATACTGTAAATCGTTAATACTGATGGTTATCTATACAAGATATAAAAAAGGATACAAATCTAAACTTTATGGCCACATGATTGAGTAAAAAAAAATCCACCTGGGTCCTGTGAGTTCCAGGTGAGAGAGAAACAACTCTTTGCTGATCTACATGTAAAAGGCAAAAATAACTGGCACTAAGGTCGACCACAGAGATCTCAAACAATATTATGACCGACTGACTGACTGACGGCAACAAAACAACCTAACCTACTATGACAACACTTTCTCGCTGTAATCACAACATTTTAGGATCATACTGTAAGATCAGGGTGTAAACTAGAGCCCAACTGATAATATCGGCTGATATTAGCATATCACATGACTATCGGTATCGGCTAATTTTGTCTCCGATATGCCGATTTAACCAAACTACAAATGAAACGAAGTTATTTGTTCTTCTAGAAAGAGTCATTTTCCTTCTAATCACAGTGATGACGTGAGAAAATAACCTGTCAGTGGCTCTATTTAAAATCTGGAGTACCCCCAGTCTGAGACCAAGGAAAAATGCTTGCCATTCTGAGTCGAGACCTTCAAAAAAGAGGTACTCTGGACCGGTAGACAACACCGCTGTTGTTACTCTGGTCAATTGTAAAATAAATCTTGTCTTCCTTATAAATCTTCTTGAAAATGTCTATCTATGAAGATCGAAGTAGATCTAAAAAAGATATCGGCCGATAGATCGGTATTGGGATTTTTTTTCTCTACCAAGAAGGTATTAGTACCGCCCCCAATTCCTGTATCAGTCGGGCCCTGGTTTAAACACTCGGATTTTGGCAACTCATGAAGTCAAATAAATAGATCTTGGTTTTTGCAGTTCATGATGTAATGTTAGTAGAGTGCATAAGAAGCATGTGCAAAATTAAACATTAATTCAAACATTTACCAAATGTGCCAAAACAGCAGCTACTACACACGCTACTCTGTTACATGCACTTTATAATGTTTCTAACAGAGCTGCAGCTGATTGTCTTGAGATGTAAACATCATTTTGAAGGATTTCCACTTAGTCATTGGAACATTTGGTTAATCTTGGTGAGTATAAAACGTTTACAGAACTGCTGGAACTCGATGCTAAAGCCCTGAAAGTGACAGGAAAACTAAAACTTAAAAACCACAGAAGGCTTATTTCCAATGAGAATTTGCTCAGTGAGACTACAGAAACAAGAAAAGGTTAAATCCTAATAAAGTGAATCCTGCAGAGCATATATGTTCTTTGGTTAACTATTTAAAGAGTGCGTTTACAAGCCAGACGACTTTCTCTATTAAAAATAAAGGAATGATTGTTTTTAAAGAATTAAGCCTCAAATGACCAAACGTGAATAAAACATATCTAATAACTATTCTGCCACTTCACAGAAAACACAGGTTGGTCTTTAGACTGGAGTGTTCATGTTTGATGCATTGTTGTCCTTTAAAAGGTTTCAGTGGCAAAGCTGCTTGCAGATATTTCATAGAGGTCGAGTTCAGAAAGCGTTTGAAGGACTGCGAGATGAGATGAAGCTGCATGTGTCCTTAATACCTGCAGGAGATGATGAATGGATCAGATGGTCCCTGCAGGGTCCACAGCAGGATTGTTGGGCTGTGGTGGTTTCAGCTTCATGGTGGTAAAAAAGTCCACAAGCTGAGTGGGAACTTCTGCCAACACACTCTTTGCCAGAGCTTCTCGGGGAGCCTGAAAGGGGGAAAAAAAGGTTAAAAAGCAGAGAACAGTAAGGAGAACACAGATATATTTCATAATGCAATATGTGAATATTATCAGCACCGATTTATTGAATGAAAGGAGCATGAACGGGAAGCAGAGAGTCCTGCAGAGGAAGACGTGAAAGGGGGGAAATGTTCCTGATATTTCAAAGATCTTCATTTGTTTTTTTTATGATGCTACGTTTGTGGGGAAACCTCGAGAAGAGTTGCACACACGTGCTGCACATGATGCAGTCAGCAGCAGCGACAGAAACTAAAACTGCAACAACAAAAAGGTTTCTTAATTTTCTCTTAGTTTCAAACCAAGTAACTTTGGGAAAAAGCTCAAAACTCTACTTGACCAAGGAAACCTTGAAACTAATTGACCTGAAGTCTGGCATCATGGCCGTCGCCAAGTTGGTATCCTGGTTCTGGATCTGCTGTTAATTCATCAGCTGTTATAAAAGATAGTTAACCATTGAAGACTGTCGTTTGTGGAGATGTTTAGACTAAAGACTAAAGATTCCCCTCAAACAATACACCTAAAAATGAAGACTGTATCACCCCTCGTTTTGTTTTTAAGAGAAGTCTTCTCTGCCTCACTCTGCTCTGATGATGAATCTTAAACAAAGCAGAGGTAGATGAGTTGGAAAGAAGACATAAAAAAGGTTCAAAAAGGCAATGAGTGAAGCAGTCTTGACATCATGAGATGGTTCATGCAGTGATGAGGCGGTTAGTCACACAGGACAAGAGAAGGCGAGGATTGGAGTGGGCTTATGACTGAAAATTTTGGGGTACCCCTATGAAGGAGTGGGATCGTGAGGAGGTTTCAGTTTGAATAAACTGAAGAAGGAGGCCACTTGTTGAGGTAACTCGGCCAAAACACTTTGGGCAAGAGCCTGGCTGGGTGCCTGAAAAGACATAAATACACACAGGCACACAGGTGAGCTAAGTGCACTTGCATTTACAGGGCTGGGGGTCGCTGGATCTGGATACTTTTTAAATGCTGCTGGACGGGGAGTTTATTCTGTGTCTGGATGTGTAACTGTGAAGCAAGTTTAACTAAAAATGACGCAGTGAAATGCTCAGAAAAAAAGCTTGATTCATGCAATTTTTTTGTAGCAATGAGTCAGATTGTTGACAAAAATCAGCTGAAATCACAGCAAACACCCGTCACATCTTTTATCTCAAACAATAACGGGTAAAAAAGACGTCTTCTATCGACACCGACTTACATTTTGAAACTGTCTGAATGGAACAAACTGCACGATGTCTCTCATGGCCGACTCGCCGGACAGAGAGCGCAGACGTCCGTCGTCTCCATCCAGGAACTCCATGGCGCTGAAATCTGCATCCCCAACCCCGATGATGATGATAGACATGGGCAAGCGGGAGGCGTTGACGATGGCGTTGCGGGTCTCATCCATGTCTGTGATCACTCCGTCAGTGATGATCAGCAGGACGTAGTATTGCTTCAGGAAAAAACAGAAAACAAAGAAATGTTAAGTTTGGATGAAGACTCACCTGGATGTGACGCTGTCGGCTCACATGAGCAAAGGTGTTTCAGCAGCAGTCCCCCCAGCTCATCTTAACCAAACAGTTGTGAGTCTACCGTCATGTTCCTAGTGAGTCTGAACAGATAAACACTCACTGATGCGGTGGTCTGCTGCAGGGCTTGCTTAGCGAAGCAGGCGACATGGTTGATGATCGGGGAAAAGTTAGTGGGTCCGTAGAGTTTGACCTGAGGCAGACAGACCCTGTAGGCCTCCACCACACCTTCAACACCTACAAACATAAGAGATCAGATGCACATCAACTCAACACATCAGCCTGTCTCAATGTACCTGTGGTGCCATGATTGGTGAACATACCTGCACAAAATGGATTTGAAGGGTTGAAATTAAGAGGGAACTCATGAGACACCTGTTGAGTAAAACACAAACGTCTCATTTCTGTTGCATAGCCACACTATATCCATCATGCATAAAGGAGACAGATTTTCTTGCATTTAAAGTATAAGATCGAAGTCCTACCTGCCATGTGGGAGGGATCTGAGCTCCAAAGCCAAAGGCAGGAAACATCTTGTCGCTACACAGGAGGGACAAACAACAGTCATGCATAAGTGACAGAATGATTTGACCAGGAATGCCCTGTACGATTGTATAAATGTGGTAGTGGAAGGTCAGCTCACACTGTACAAGTGAATCGTTTATGGAGCACAAGCAAAGTTCACGTATGATGCGCCCACACTGTCCGAGTAAAATCAGGACGGAGCATTCACAATGTACCGTTTTTTTATAGCTGTTTTCACATCTGCACTCCTGAAAATATCTAGATCATTTCAGGAGGACAGCTCTGG